CGCTTTTTGGACAAGTTCCGAATCAAAATGCATCACAAAAGATAAGTGACTAACACTTTAAGAGTCCCTGTGTGGCGCTCACATTTCACAATTTTAGTATATTAACAGGAGAGAGAGAAGAAGAGACTGAAACGGGATAAAAGACAAACAATGTCATGAAAGAGAGAGAGAGGGGGGACGGTACACAGACCAGATAGAAACACAGAGAGAGAGAGACTGGGAATAAAGCAAGCTATGTATGAGCGAGAGAGAGAGGAGAGAGAGAGGATGACGAAGAGGATAAGAGAGAGAGAGAGAGCGAGAAGAGAGAGAGAGAGAGAGAGAGAGAGAGGAGAAGAAAGAGGGAGAGAGAGAGAGAAGAGAGAGGGGGGGGGGGAGAGGGAGAAAGAAAGAGGGAGAGGAGAGAGGGACAGACAGAAACAGGACAGAGAGAGAGGGGGGACGAGTAAGTAGTGAAACTTTTTTTTTAACTTTGACAAGTTTGTTGAATCAAAATCATCACAAAAAGATGAAGTGACTAACGTTACCTTTAAGAAGTCCCTGTGTGGGCTCACATTTCAAATTTTAGGTATATTAACAGGAGAGAGAGAAAGAGAGAGACTGAGACGGGATAAAAGCAAACTATGTATGAAAGAGAGAGAGGGGGGGGGGGGGTGACAGACAGATAGAAACAGAGAGAGAGAGAGAGACTGGGAATAAAAGCAAGCTATGATGAGAGAGAGAGAGAGAGAGAGAAGAAGAGAGATAACAGACAGACAGACATACAGAGAGAGATCACCTGCTTCAATGACCCTGATAAACACTTGTACTAAGATATGGTCTTATCAGAAACGTAGTACATTTTATTGATGTCAGGCTAGGCATTAAGACTAGCCCATTTTTGTACGGTTATATAATTCAGGATGTGTTTATATCTCTCTGCCTCCTCTCTCACCCTCCTCATCTCTCTCTCTCTCTCTCTCTCTCTCTCTCTCTCCTCTCTCTCTCTCTCTCTCTCTCTCTCTCTCCCTCTCTCTCTCTCTCTCTCTCTCTCTCTCTCTCTCTCTCTTCTATTTGTATGCCAGTCATTTTTTCATCCATATTTAATTAAAAAGGCTATCTATATAAAAAAGATAATAGGTAAATAACCTTTAACTTTTCACCCCCGTGAGAGAAATCGTTCATGGTAATCAGTGCTTATCAGTTTAATCTTATCTTCATTTCCTCTGACCTATCTTATCTTCATCTCCACAGGTGAAGAGTCTAGGATGGGCATGCTTTACTATTACTGGAGTGACGAAATCCTCCTGATATTACTCTATAAGGATTTTTTTCATCTCTGCCTGGATATCTATATTGGTCCTAGATTCCTAGGTTTAAACCCTGAGACTTTTCACCTCTGTCTTACTCTATTTCTGTCTCTCCCTCACTCTCAGTTACTCTCTCTCTCTCTCTCTCTCTCTCTCTCTCTCTCTCTCTCTCTCTCTCTCTCTCTCTCTCTCTCTCTCTCTCTCTCTCTCTCTCTCTCTCTTCTTCTCTCTCCTCTCTCTCTCTCTCTCTCTCTCTCTCTCTCTCTCCTCTCTCTCTCTCTCTCTCTCTCTCTCTCTCTCTCTCTCTCTCTCTCTCTCTCTCTCTCTCTCTCTCTCTCTCTCTCTCTCTCTCTCTCTCTCTCTCTCTTGCTCTCTCTCTCTCTCTGCTCTCTCTCTCTCTTCTCCTCTCTCTCTTGCTCTCTCTCTTCTCTTGCTTCTCTCTCTCTCTTGCTCTCTCTCTCTCTCTCTCTCTCTCTCTCTCTCTCTCTCTCTCTCTCTCTCTCTCTCTCTCTCTCTCTCTCTCTCTCTCTCTCTCTCTCTCTCTCTCTCTCTCTCTCTCTCTCTCTCTCTCTCTCTCTCTCTCTCTCTCTCTCTCTCTCTCTCTCCTCTCTCTCTCTCTCTCTCTCTCTCTCTCTCTCTCTCAATCTATCTACCTATCTATCCACCTCACAATTTCACGTCCCTTTAATCAACAGATCAACAACATAAAAGAAACCAACCACCCTTGAAAAAAAATCCAGAAAAAAGAAAGCGAAAAGAAAGCAAAGATGCCACTGGACTTTTATTACATGGACATGTCCCCTCCTTGCCGAGCCGTGATGCTCACTGCCAAGGCTGTGGGAGTCGACCTCAACCTAAAGCTCGTGAACATCATGACAGGCGACCATAGGAAGCCAGAATTCCTCAAGGTCAACCCGCAGCACAAGATTCCCTTTTTGGTGGACGGCACTGTCAAGCTGTCTGAGAGGTAAGAGAGGGGAGGAGGGGAAGGGGTAAGTGGTGGAAGTGGAAGTAGAGGTAGAGGGGGAGGGGAGGAGGTGGAAGGAGAAGGGGAGGAGGTGGAAGTAGAGGTAGAGGAGGAGAGGAAGGAAGGGGATGGGGAAAGGGGATGCAGAAGAGGAAAGGAGGAGGAAGAGGAAAATTAGGGGGGGGAAGGACAGGGAGAGGGGATGAGGAAGAGGAGGAGAAGGAGGTGTAGGGGAGGAGAGGAGGAAGAGAGAGAGGAGAGGAGGAGAGGGAGGGAGGAGGAGGAGGAGGGAGGAGGAGGAGGAGGAGGAGGAGGAGGAGGAGGGGAGGAGGATGAAAGAGGAGGAGGAGGAGGAGGAAAAGGAGTGGGAGGAGGAGGAGGAGGGGAGGAGGAAGAGGAAACAGAAAGAGGAAGACTAGGAAAAATAGAAGAGAAAACAGGTAGAGAGAAGAAAGACTGGCAAAAAAGAACTAAAATGCATGGAATAGGAAAAGAATGAGAGGAAGGGGAAGAGGAAAAAATTTGCAAAAGAGGAAGAGGGCAGGCACAAGAAGAAAAAAATGTAGATCAAGGGGAGAAGAAAGATGAGAGAAAGAAGAATGCCAGGATGAAAAGGAAGAAGGCAGGAGGAGGAAAAAATAAGTAGGACATAGGGAATTAAAGAACTAAACAGAGATGAAGTAGAAAATAAAAATGGAAGAAACAGAAGAGTAGGTGAAGGAAGAGGAAAAGAAGGGAAAAAGTAAAAATTAAGAGAAGGCAAATGGACAGAAGGGCAAGGAGATGTACAAGACAAAACAAAAAAATGGAGAAGAAGGATGGAAGGAAGAATTGAGGGAGGAAGAAAAGGAAGGGGAGGGAAGGTGAAAGAAAGAGGAGTGGAAAGAAGAGAAAGGATGTGGTGATGTAAAAGACAAAATGTAGATATAGGAGAAGAGATGGGAAGTAGGAGAATGAAAGAGGAGAGAGAGAGAGAGGAGTAAAGGGGAGGAGCAGAGAGTATGGATCAAACATTAATTCCATATTATATTTCAGAAAAAACAAACACCACTTTCTAAATTAAAAAGTACAAGTGTATGACATAATCCCTGTTAAATGGCTGTGCCAATCTTAGTATCATGAAACCAAACATTGTGTTAACTTTGTCACATGAAAACAAATATTCTCAGTGTCATCTTTGCTTACAAGAAAACAAAACATTCCTGTCCACTAACACAAAACCCTATAACTCATTATCTTCTCATTTTCTTGCGCAACCAGCCGTGCCATCTGCTCATACTTGGCATCTCAGTACGGCAAGGATGACTCCTTCTATCCCAATAACCCAAAAGCACGATGCATTGTGGATCAGAGGCTTTACTTCGACATCGGGACCCTCTACCAGAAATGGGCTGATTATGCTGTAAGTGAATAATCAATTTGTATTATTTTTTGTTATGGTTTGTTAAGTACTGTATAAGCTATCCTTTTTTTTTTGTTACTGTTAAGCCTGGGAAACAGGATAATGTAAATAAGTAAGAAAGTTATGATATCTATAATGAACATCATCTGATATATTCATGCTCTCATGGGAAAAGTTTGTAAAAAAAAAAATATATATATATATATAGCATAGAGAATAAGTCTTAATGTCTTGTAACAGTAATCAGACTGGAAACTATCTTATGAGAGATATTTAGCACTAGGTCTACTGATACATGCCTAATAATTATGTGCATCTGGAGACTTCTGCCTTAGTATACCACTTGCTTTGTATGCCATGATGATTTCAGCAGGTGCATGGGAAAATCCCCTACATACCAGTTAGAAATATAACCAATGAGAATGTATACTATTCATTGTAGTTTTGTTAAACTTTACACATAAGCAATTCCACAGGTGGCCAGCCAACAAGGAGACAATAAGAAGGCTATGTGACCTAATCTGATTTATCATTTCCTTTTGGGATTTTTTTTTTCTAATGTTTAATACTGACGTTATTATTATAATTGACAATATGACTTTTATAATGTCATATTAATGGTATATAATTTTTAAAAAATTAGGCCTCATCCCAAAATTATAGAAAAACTAAAAAGAGATAGATCCGATTGGTGACTGACTCCTTGTTCTTTAAATATTTGTGGAGCCATCTATGTGTCAATTTAATTACTAAAACTAAACTCATAATAGGCATGGCATGTACGTACATGCCATCCCCAGCAGCATGGAGTTAAGGATACCTAGAATTACGGTGCTGTAGTAAAACTGAATATAGAAATCCTTATTTTCCATTTATCTCTGAGATGACATAAATTTACCAAGGATTCTTTTCCACACCTTTTCAGTACCCTGGCTTAAGAGGGCAGCCAATCAACCACTCCCTGCTTGAGGGCATTCATGAGGCTCTCTCATTTTTGAATGCCAACCTCATGGACTTTCCTTGGGCAGCAGGAAACAAGATTACAGTTGCTGACTTCAGCCTGGTGGCCACCATATCGTCCATGGAGGCTGCTGGTGTAAACCTAGAGCAGCATCCCCGCATTGTGCAGTGGCTGAAGAGGTGCAAGACAAAGATGGTCGGCTACCAGGAGGCGAACGAGGTTGGGGCTCAGAAGTTTGGGGACATTCTGAAGGGCATGCTTGCACCCCCAGCACCTGAAAAGAAGGAAGAGGAGAAGGCAGAAGAGAAGAAAGAGGAGAAGCAAGAAGAAAGAATGGAGTGAAGGTTATATACAGAAAAAAGAGAGAATGAATTAAACCAG